CCCACCCCACCCCACCCCCCCCGCAGACCAACAGCGTCATTCTGCAACAGCGCTCCCTATGGATCGAGTACTACTACCGCAGTCTACAGCCCGGAGTACATGTCCTGGAGTACAGCCCGGAGGACGTACTGACGCTGCTGGAGAAGTACCAGGTACGGTAGTTGTACGATGAATGTCGTAGGGGTATGGGTATTCTGCTGTCCTGTGTGTGTACGTATGTGTGTATGTATGCATATATGTGATAAGACGTTTTTTCCCTCCCCCTCCTATGTCCATATTAAATTTGCACATCAAGGGTTCCCACAGTCACCACAGTCACAGCTCGGTGATTTTCCCCCTTTTCCCGCTGCCCACGCGGCTCGCCGTCGCTGTCGTACATACACGGGTGCCGTCGTACACGGATTCCGTGCACCCACCCAGGACCCGCAGATGGATGGCGAGTTGCGGCGTCTAGCTAACGCGTCCCAGCATTTTTGTGCAAAGTACCTCACAATCGACGGCAAGGTACGGAAAACAATGCACAATGCCGCTTCTGATGTACAATTCACTATACGACTATTCACACACAAAGAGATGGCGAAAAAAACAACTCTTAAGGTTTTCCACGGGCTTTTGGCGGCTACAGCAGCCCATTGATACTTCAGCCCTACGTTACAGTAACTAGTAGTGCATAACTCTAGCCAGACCTCCTTTTTCATGTACGTATCTTCGACTGTGCGGAAGAAATGCATCAGCATGACGGTAGGGCGAGGAGGGTCGACACTTTAGGGCAGCCAGCCGAAGTAGCTCTGGACATCCTTGGTCGGCTGCGGCGATCGGGGCCACCTGTAAGCCGCGCTGGGGGAGTGCACCAGTGCTTTTATTCCCTGGCTTGTGTGTATGGGCTGGCTCGTTACACCTGTCTATCTGGGTAATGCAACGAGGTGTAACACACATACACACATACACACATACGCACATACGCACATACGCACATACACACAAAGTAATAAATAGCTTGTGACGACAACAACAAGAACAACAACAACACGCGGATAGATAGTTACAGAAAACCAACCGAACACACCAGCAGCAACCGCCAATTAGAAAATCACAACACAACCCTGCCCTGCTTTCCGTCGCGGCCGTCCCCGCCAGATCCGCTACACGGTGCGAGCACTCCACGAGTACAACCGCCTCTTCGGCTCCGTGTTGGCCACCTTCGCGCGGGAGCTACGTGGCTTGGGGGCCTTCAAGGGGTGGAACCGTACCCCCACCCCCACCTCTACCTCCGCCTCTAAATGGGGCCGGAAAGCTTTGGGAGCGGTTGCATCGTCGTCAGGAGCATTGGAAGCATCGCACGTGCCTGAGGCATCAGCAGTGTTTGCACCACCATCACCACCATCAGTAGGATTCGAACCGAGAGCATCTGCTGCTGCAGGATCGGAACAAGTAGCTGCTGCTGCTTCAAAAGAACATCCTGTATGGCCCAACATCGATAATCGTGTTGGGGATGCCGATGAAGACGACGATGATGAGGAGGAGGACGGTGACGACGTTGATGGCGGTGATGATGCGAGGAGTCATTACCACTCCCCGTCGGGTGGAAGAGGGCATCTGGAGGGCTCTGGAACGGGCTACGACTTCGGCGCGGACGTCACCAAGCGCGACATCTTTAGCACTAGCGTTAGCGTTAGCAGCCACCACAGCGGAGACAGCGGCGCTCGTGTCCTCCTTCTGAGTCCTTATTCTCGCCCTAGCCGCCGTAAAGGTCGACGTGGCCGAGGCAGCGGCGAGGAAGTTGACAGCCGCTTGGTTCGGTGGCTGGACGCGGAGGACTTCAGGACGCTGCTTAGGCAGTTACGAGGGAGCAGAAAGTAGCGAGAGCAGCGGCAACATCGCCATTGTGGTCATGGGTATCGGCATCATTACTATTGCCATCACAGACATCATCATTATGGGCATCATCACCATCACCAGCAGTCGCAGCAGCAGTCGCAGCAGCAGTCGCAGCAGCAGTCGCAGCAGCAGTCGCAGCAGCAGTCGCAGCAGCATCTCCTAACGGATCGTCATTATTTTCAACTGTCTGGCCAGACAGTTTTTGGGCGGGGCCCCAGCGCGAAGCGCCCAGGGGGGCCCCGACCTGTAGGATTGCCCAAGTCCGTGTGTCCGTGTGTGCGTGTGTAACGGACCAAACATAATATTTCGCCCGGCTGAAACGCGTTATCGGTACTATATAGCATTCTCTATTGCAAGGTATCTCGCATTTAGCTAACAAAGATCGTATGAGCACAAACAACTTTGGCTGCCTCCAATGACCGAGCTCATAGTCACATCAACGCCTCTCGGTCTAAATTTCATCTCAAGAAGGTGCCGTGTATCTCATCATTGATTTCCGAGATGACAGCGTATGATAACCTGAACACCCAGCTTGTGTTACCATTTGCCCGCACGGGCATTCCGACTTGCCACCAGCAGGCCGACAAATTTGCTTACATTTCTCTATGAAATACGCAAGCTGCTCATTTGTACATTTACTTTAGCCAATGCTCGGGGCCTCCGGAGACTTGCGGTGTGCCCCGATGAAGCCCGCGGCTATGGGGCGGATTGCTGAGGCCGCTGGCGCTTCGGGGATAAACATCACAGACAGCACCGAAATTCACCCAGCTTTCGTTACCAAGTTGCCCGCACGGGCATTCCGACTTGCGGTCTGCCGCACTGTCCATGCGGCATGCACCCGGGATGGATGCGATTCGCGTGGAGCCCGCAGGCGCTGCTGACGATTCCGCCGGTGCAAGCTTAGCTCTCACACCATCAGCACTGCTGCAACAAAGCACATCTCCCACCGCGTTGACACTACCCATCAATTGTCACACGTGCCGCGCTAGCTACCGGCCTGTACGGATGCAGGGGGGCCCCGCCCTTTTTCCGGCTTCGAGGAAGCCGAAACCCGACTTGTCTTGTGCCCACCACATGTAATAGTTATGCCTGCAGTGCGCATTTAAATCACTGCACGTGCACTCCAGGTAGGACAGCATGTTTCCTGGCTACACATCTACTTAATGCTTCCTCTCCCCTCAAATCACCCGGCCACTATTTTCCTTGCTTTTCTACCCCCCCCCCTTGTCTACCCCCCCTTTTGGTGCGATGATTGCGCCCGCTCAAACGTCTTGTACCCAACCAATGGTTACCCCGGCACGGATGCATGTACGGCATGTACGGTGGACGGCAGGTCCCTGACGTGGCACCCTGCACGGAGCTGGTAGCAAAGCAGCTGCACCCACGCGCGCCGCTGTACGTCATCAAGGCGGTCCCTGTCAATAGTGCCCCTAGGAAGAGGAGGCTGGTGCGTGCAGCGCCGTGGAGGTGGTAGAGCTGTAGGCAGCGCACTTTTACGGCGGTTTGAATAGTACCTAGCGTCGTAGGCAGAGGCGTAGGGTTACGTGGGAGGATACGTGGAAAATGCGTTGCCTGGGTGGTGGCCCGTACCGTGCCGTACTGTACATACCAACGTACAATCCATGCCGTTTTCCGCATGCATTTGGGTTGCAATTTCATGTCGGAGATACGGAGTGCCCTATATCCCCCTTATCGTTCTCTTATCGGTTATTACCGGTATAATGCACTTTTCTCCAACGTTCCTCTCATTCTCCACGCCCTTGTTTGTCTTCTACGTGTCAGGACCGTACATCAACCTCATCGTACTGACGACACCACAAACCTTCACCATTTCCATGGCGTTCAGCACGCAAGGAAAGCCGGATAGCCTAATCTGGCATAGGAATGCGGCAAGCTGGCTGATGGCCGCAGCCATGGCACCGCCGCCCCGCTGTTCCGCTTACCTAACCCTAAAGCCCCAAACTCCAACCGGCAACCCACGCACCGCTCAGGCCAGATCAGGCCAGGCAAGGCCGCATGCGACCACTATCACCGATATAGCTTTGGAGCTGCTATTGTTAACAACGTTGTGCGCTTTGAAAGGAACGGGCACAGGAGTAGAGCACTCAACACGAATCACCGAACGGAATGCACCGACGTAAGCGGTGCCGCCGTGAGATGTATGATGTCGTAGGGGATGGCACAGCTTTTATCGTACACATACGTACGATATAGATCGTATCCAAGCCTCTCGTCCAGGCACATCCTTTCGTTGACATCTTCCCTCGTCTTGTCCTCGGTCTCCATGACCAATAGGCCGACACATCATCACACCCTTCGCCTCTTCAGACTGCAGGCAGTATCAGCGGGAAGGGAAAGACCGGGTGGGGCGAAGGGCCCAACGCCCTTCACTGGAGTTGCGTTGAGGTTGAAGCAGAGGAGAATACGAGGCATACCTTCTTTGCCGTGCATGTCATGCATGAAGCCGTGCATGCATGAACCCCTGCCCCTGGCCATAAGTNGTGTTTTTTATGCTCGCATAAGCAGCCAGACTGCCGTGGAGACACAAACCATAGGAGCCGGGGGCCCCTGGATGAGTGGCGAATTCAAACCGGATCCGTCGTCTCCGTCGGGAATATAACGAGTCACTAAAACAAATCCCAATCTTAAAGAACAACTGCTCCAAGAGGGCTCGGATGGATGGAGCGACGACGCCACCGACAGGTGAACCGCCTTCAACGACTTCAAGGCGGGAAAAGCCGGCGCCTTCGGAAACAGGCACCTTTTGAAGCAAACGTGCCTACCGTTTTCGCCGGGCGTGCGCGGCGGAGGTGTAGCGACCAGCTTGTGGCTGTAGGTGAAGCACTCGAGACCGCGGTAATCTTAGGGCTTAATACACCGCACCACACACTCCTACCCAAATCTTTAATATAATATAATTTAATTTTAAGATTTAATTCCTCAGTAACCGCCCCCAACGGCTCTGTGCATGTTGGTCAAGCTGCTATATATATAACCGTTGGGGGCGGTTACTGAGGAATTAAATCTTAAGCTCCTCTGAAGCAGGGTTCAAACCCCTACCCACCCCACGCAGCCCATTTCCCACACGTCACGAACCGCAAATGTCAAGTTGCGACTGCCACTGCGCCACCCAGCACCCAGCACCCTCCTTCCGCCTCCCCGAGCCCTCATTTCCTCTAAACCCTGCACTCACACTTGCGAATCTTGATGGGCCAGTGCGGGAAGCGCTCGTGCCAGTAGGCGATGCCGTAACTGTATAGGCGGGGAAGTTGGTTAAGTTCGTTGAAGGTTTCGGTTAGTCGTGTTGATCGTCGTTAGTTAGTTGGTATGATGATCACTGGTTCCTGCATGGAATGTGATGATGTCGGAGCAGTTATTGGAGCAATGCAATAAGTTGTCGGCGCGGGAGATGCAGAGGCATACAAACATACATACATACGTACACACCGTTATCGCTATCTGCCTAATCGCGTAAGCAACCGTGCCGGGCGGTGTGTCCAGCGGAACCACTAGTGCGCGCGTGAAACTTATGTTTTCATCTACGACACGATGGTGTAGTTGGTAATCACATCTGTCTCACACACAGGAGGTCCCCAGTTCGAACCTGGGTCGTGTCATTTTTATGCCTAGTGGGCGCACCGCGCGTACCTGCAGGCTTTGTGACTGTGGAGCGGTTGTAGATGAATTGCATGTTTTCGAAGAATGTCCAGCTTACAAGAGCATACGGGCTAAGTATGATGGTGATGTAGTCTTTAAGGGGCGCAGCATGCGCACCAGTATGACCGAGGCGCCACCCCTGGTATTGGCCAGGTACCTCTCGGAAATTTGGGAGGCCAGGCACGTCGCGCTGAGGCGCTTCGCCCTGAAGCTGACCTCCCGCGTACCCGCATCAATACCAATACAACGCCCATGGGCCCCCCGGCCGCACTTGTGTGCGGAACTTGTAACTTTTATTGCATATGCGAACTTATTCCTGCCATGGCCGACCGAACTCATCTATTGACCAGCACATCGCCTTCAGGTTCGCTGTCCCCGACATGCTGTGGGTTCGAGAACATGGCCCTGCTGAGTCCCTTCGAAACCCGTCGGTCCCCACAGAGGTCAAAATTCGTCTTAGCGTCTTAGCGTCTTAGCTCTCCACCTCCAATAAGTTTTACATACATACATGCATACGCCCCGCGTCATCATTTACTACCTGTAATTAGTCTGTCACCAGACGCATGTCCGCTTCTGCATCTCATTCACCTACCTCTTAGCCCTTGTCAGCGACGTCACAATCACTACAGCCCTATCAATACACCAACCACGAACCCCCTCACTTTGTCTGGGGTACCTGGTTCGCAACTAACAAGAAGCCAACCGCTATAACCACTTTGTAACCGCTCTCAACGACTTAGGGTTGTAAGTCGTCACGTAGAGCACGTAGAGCAGATAGCCACCACCTGCATGGCTGCTCACAATGCCCGTTGCAAGTTTCCGCGGCTGTGGCTGGTGTGACCAGCTGGTGCGCTATGTGGCTAATGCGGCGGTAATGACTGGCAATGCGAAAGGTTTTGTCAACACGCGGACTTGATCAGATAAAGTAAAACTGTCTGGCCAGACAGAACCTCACGAGTCATCGGTCTGGCCAGATCCTTACGAGTCATCGGATCGTGTCCGCGCGTATACAAAACTTATTGGAGGTGGAGAGCTAAGACGCAGCAGGTGACTGGGATGTCTGTAGTCGATAGTTCGGTAGTTAAGGGGTAGACGGTTGAATGGTTGGTTATGTTAGATATAGCTTCCACGGAGGTGCTGGATTTACGATATACATGCTGGACTTGACTTTTTTGAGGGAATTTTCCCGAAGGGGCGGTTCTGTAGCAGCGGGCATTGAGAACTTTCCATCCCTCCCTCTCTCTCCCTCACGGCTGGTAGCGGTGCTTGGGCGTATCCAACTGTCCATAAATGCCCCCTGGCCGCACTCCCCTGGCCTCGCGTACATGTTTTCTGTCCGAAAACCCGGAATCGTTGTCAGCACGCAGCTCAAGACGGACCCTGCCTGTCAGCTAACGACTGTCAGCTGCGAACCCGAGCCGGGTGGGGGCGCATCCCAGAACGGCTTCGCTATCGGCTCGTCCGACGCTAGTTGGCGGACTGTTGGGGACTGGCCGCTGCTCTCCGGGCGGTGTGAAGGCAGTGACAGTAGAGTGACAGCCTGTCGGGAGCCATCCGCTTGGACAAATCAGAGTCTCCTTTTGTGCGCGTGCCTTCCTGCGACATGAAGGCAGTGCCTTGATGATTATGGTCAGTTTGCTCCAAGCTCGTATCGGACTTTAATAAGGATTGCATCATAGTTAACGAAGCAAAATTTCAAGACCTTGAAGTTCCGACAACTGCTTCGAAGGAGGTGAGCGCATTTCCCATCGCGTCGGGGTAATCTCACCGCAATTCTACCCGATCCCTTCCACGTGAGGTCGTTCCACACGACATGAGGTCGTCGATCAACTGAGTATGGGTACCCGTGAACAACCGCGATGCTTGTTGCCAATCGTCACAAGCTAGTAGGTCTTACGCGTGCGACTAATGCCAATGACCACTCCTCTGTCTTGATGTGATGTAACTGCAATCTCGGTGCAGCCGCCTCAACTTCTTCACCGGTGCTACAGCCATTACACATGTCTACCGCTACAGCCGCGCTGCTGCTGCAGCAGCTGCCGGGTGTTCGGCCTCCCAGCTGGGATCGAGGGGAGCTCGAGATCCTAAACGGTCCCGACGCGTCGTACGCTTTGGTGCCGAATGCGGATCGCACATCGTACAATGTGTCGTACTCAAAGTACAACCCGACGCCGGGTATGTCTGGACTGGGCAGGGCAGGTTGGCGGTGGGTAATTGGGGAAGGGAAAGGGAAAGGGGAAGGGGAAGGGGTTAGCACTACAGGATTTGCGCGAAATGTGGGGCCCCGTCGGTAAACGCCGAGGAGGCGAAGGACGGTAATGGTAAGGTTTTTGTAAAAGGCTGGAATGCGCAAGTAACAGAGGATAACTTCCTACGGGGAAAACATGTGTATGCGCATCCATATTATGTTCGTGGGTATTCTAAGGATGCGTTCATCACCTCTCCCTCCAAAAAGCCGGCTCCCCCTTCGTAGGGACTTTCCACCCGCACCCTTGCACCCCTGCACCCCTGCACCCCTGCACCCCTGCACCCCTGCACCCCTGCACCCCTGCACCCCTGCACCCCTGCACCCCTGCACCCCTGCACCCCTGCACCCCTGCACCCCTGCACCCCTGCACCCCTGCACCCCTGCACCCCTGCACCCCTGCACCCCTGCACCCCTGCACCCCTGCACGCGCTCTGAGCATGCCTGCTTGCGCGTATGCACATGCCTGTCATTGGGTAAACCTGAGTGCACGTGAAGACATGTTTGTGTATATGTTTGTGTGTATGTTGGCATGTTTTCCCAGGCACTGGCCGCACAGGGTTCCTCCGAGTTCCCCCCAACAACTACCCCTTCTACTCGGAGGAGGAGAAGTATACCCCCGTGGTCCAGGTGGGATCTTGGGAGCTCCCAGATGCATATGGCTGAGCTGGGATGTGGGCTGGGATGTGGGCTGGGATGTGGGCTGGGATGTGGGCTGGGATGTGGGCTGGGATGTGGGCTGGGATGTGGGCTGGGATGTGGGCTGGGATGTGGGCTGGGATGTGGGCTGGGATGTGGGCTGGGATGTGGGCTGGGATGTGGGCTGGGATGTGGGCTGGGATGTGGGCTGGGATGTGGGCTGGGATGTGGGCTGGGATGTGGGCTGGGATGTGGGCTGGGATGTGGGCTGGGATGTGGGCTGGGATGTGGGCTGGGATGTGGGCTGGGATGTGGGCTGGGATGTGGGCTGGGATGTGGGCTGGGATGTGGGCTGGGATGTGAGCTGGGATGTGAGCTGGGATGTGAGCTGGGGTGCATATGCAGTTCCTGGGGCCTGAGGCCTCGCACAGGGCTGCTGACCTGAGGCCTGTTGGTTTGGAGACTCCTCAATCTTGAGATCCAAGTGCTGGCAGCCTTCGCATATGTCCTGGGGTTTACTTAACGCAAGGGAGCAGTAGCCTGGCGTCTGCTAGGGCGCCCTAGGACGAACGGCTGTGGTGGTGATGGCAGGGGCAGGGGGCTGACCGACTGCCGCCGCCCAGTCGTCATTGGAACTGGGAACTAACCAGGGTTGCTGGCTGGTCGGAGAAAAGAAAGCTGCAATCCTTGCAAGCCTTCAAGCTGTGTATATACAGCCATACCACAGTTTGTTATTGCCTCAATGTCTCCGCATCCAGCTACAGCGTTCCGCTATCTGCTGCTGTCGTTGTTTCAACGGCTGGGATGCCAACAGTTATGAGCTCATTCATGACTTTTATGGTTTCGATCGCCGTGCACACTACGTCCGGATCCCGTTGGCGTGTGTTCGTTTTACTTTGCCCACGCTCACTTTGTATTGTGTGTGGTGATGCTGCTGCTGTTGTTTTTGCGCGCCACTGCTGCGGTTATCCACTGTGCGGTTATCAAAATAAAGAATTGCGTCGCCTCATCATTAGTACCCCCCGCTGTCTGCCTTTCCACATTGCGCCGACCGCACCCTCCTCTGCCCACCTCCCGCCCGCATCCTCGCGCGGCGACATGGTCGCGCCACCGAACATCGCCGCCACCATGCAATCCAGAATGATGGTGGCCAGCTGTCGGGTGCGTTCCGGCGGGCTCTTGGTAATGTCACGTAGTAGCTCTTACCGTATCACGACGAGTATTACTGTACTACTGTACTAAATAGATCAACAGCGTACCACAGGATGAAGCAAGATTGTTCTTGGGGTGGTCCTGCCCCATGGAAAATAGGCGGCGTTATAGCCGCTGGTACTGGGTCGCGCACCCACACGCCGCCACACGCCGCCACACGCCCCCACACGCCCAACGCCCGCCCACACGCCCCCAGAGTGGCAACCCATGTACACTCCCAGCAAGGAGCAGGCGGAGGCAGATCGCGCGAAGGCTTACACGGAGGGCGTGCCGCACGGTATGAACGTGTATGTGTGCGTCTCTGCATGTGCATGTGCATGTGCATGTGCATGTGTCCATGGGTAGGTTGTTATGTTTCTGGTTCATCCGCATGTATGTGAGTGTACTCATCTTTTTGGAAAAGCAGACGGAACAACGGGAAGTGCCCTAGGGTAGGGAGGTGTATCAAACCTGAGAATCCCCGGACACACCCGCCCTCCCGCCCTCATGCCACCTACCAGGTTATGTATCCCCGGAATCGCGGCTCAAGCACGAGGCCTCCTCCCCGTCCCTGGAGATATGGGTGGTCAGTGAGCTGGTGAGTAGGGGCGTAGGTGAGGGTTGGGGGGAGCATGGTATTGGGTTTAGGGGGTGGGGATCTGGGGTACACATCATCGATCAGGAGTCGGTATGGGTATGGGTATGGGTATGGGTGTGGGTGTGGGTGTGTGTAGGTAGGTGGATGGTTCCTAGCAAACGTTGGCAAGAATCTGATGGCTTCTAGGGACCTCGCAGCAGGTTGCAGCAGAGAGCGGTGTCGCGACGATTGCAGCAGGCTGGACGCAGTGGCCGGGGGTAGCGCGGGTAGCTCGCCGCTCCGAAGATGACAACTGCGGCCTACTGGGACATACGGCACGAACAGCTCTGCACACCGTTGTACTGATACCTGCCTGCAGCACCTGCTCAACGCGACACGCTGTGTGAATGGAACACCTGGGAATCCCAACCTAGGTGCCACCTTTGGCCTGGGTGTATGGCACAAGGGAACATAACAGTGCCTGCCTATTGTGAGGACACAAAGGCAGTAGGCAATGTACGAGCTCAAGCTGCACAGGGCCGACAGACCCCTTTTTATACAGCTTCGTGCTGCATACTTCCACCTTGCGAGTAAGTACCGCTGTCTACTCCGTGATGTTTACTTCATTTAATCATCTTAACGTCTGCAGCACCATGAGTCCGAGTACGGCGAGGTCAAGGATCCCGCGACCGGCCGCCATTCTGGGGGCCCGTTCCGAATCCGGGTGAGCCCTAAGACGCGCGTTGAGGAGCTGCGACTGATGATTCGGGTGAGGTCGGTTGATGCGCGACTGGGTGGGTCGGTGGGTCGGTGGCTCGGTGGCTCGGTGCAGTGCACGTGGAATTTTGACCTCTGTGGGGACGGACGGGTTTCGAAGGGACTCAGCAGGGCCATGTTCTCGAACCCACAGCATGTCGGGGACAGCGAACCTGAAGGCGATGTGCTGGTCAATAGATGAGTTCGGTCGGCCATGGCACAGGAATAAGTTCGTTGACCTATGTCTGGTAGTCGTGCCTATCCCCCTGGCCGGGAGCCCCCAGCCCCACCGCGTGTGTCATCTATTGCAGGTGCGTGAAGTGATTTGAGAGGAAACCCCCCTGTACGAATGAATGTTGTTGCGAAAGCTGCCCTTACCGCTCCACCGCATCTCAAGATGTGCGGTGCGGGGTACCGGTACCCGGTACCTGGCCCCGATAAATCCCGCCCAAGGAAGCGCTATTCCTCCGTCTTGACCCGCCCGCCTTACTTGTCCCCCTCCACCTGCCCACCCTGGTCCTTGCCGGGCGGCTCACCTCGCCGGGTATGGCCTACCGCGCACAGGACGCGGGTGGCATCCTACCGGCGCTCCAGAAGCTATCTTACGCCGGCAAGCACCTGGACGACTCGCAGCGTACTCTGGCACAGTAAGTGAAGAAGGATGAAGGGATATCACGGAGCACTGGCTCGTAATCCGTACACTCTATGCCGTACGGCATATGCAATAAAAGTTACAAGTTCCGCACACAAGTGCGGGTGTGTCCGTAAAAGCCGGGGGGGCCATGGGCGTTGTATTGGTATTGATGCGGGTACGCGGGAGGTCAGCTTCAGGGCGAAGCGCCTCAGCGCGACGTGCCTGGCCTCCCAAATTTCCGAGAGGTACCTGGCCAATACCAGGGGTGGCGCCTCAGTCATAATGGTGCGCATGCTGCGCCCCTTAAAGACTACATCACCATCATACTTAGCCCGTATGCTCTTGTAAGCGGGACATTCCTCGCCTGGCTACTGCACTAGTAGAACGCCGCGGGTGGTGACACGTCAGCGCCGCGGCTACTAGGATAGTGGACACAGCAACATGCAATTCATCTACAACCGCTCCACAGTCACAAAGCCTGCAGGTACGCGCGGTGCGCCCACTAGGCATAAAAATGACACGACCCAGATTCGAACTGGGGACCTCCTGTGTGTGAGACAGATGTGATAACCAACTACACCATCGTGTCGTAGATGAAAACACAAGATTCAAGCGCAAACTAATCGTTTTGATAGACACACCGCCCGGCACGGTTGCTTACGCGATTAGGCAGATAGCGATAACGGTGTGTACGTATGTATGTATGTTTGTATGCCTCTGCATCTCCCGCGCCGACAACTTATTGTATTGCTCCAATAACTGCTCCGACATCTTATCACATTCCATGCAGGAACCAGTGATCATCATACCAACTAACCAGCGACGATCAACACGACTAACCGAAACCTTCAACGAACTTAACTAATATTTAAAATATCTAAATAACCAAGTACTTTATCGAAATAAGCCTTTGATTCAGTTGTATAGTAATCAGCAATAAAAGGAGCTTCTGCTGCTATTTTTTTAACAAACTTCCCCGCCTATACAGTTACGGCATCGCCTACTGGCACGAGCGCTTCCCGCACTGGCCCATCAAGATTCGCAAGTGTGAGTGCAGGGTTTAGGGTTTAGAGGAAATGAGGGCTCGGGGAGGCGGAAGGAGGGTACTGGGTGCTGGGTGGCGCAGTGGCAGTCGCAACTTGACATTTGCGGTTCGTGACGTGTGGGAAATGGGCTGCGTGGGGTGGGTAGGGGTTTGAACCCTGCTTCAGAGGAGCTTAAGATTTAATTCCTCAATAACCGCCCCCAACGGTTATATATATAGCAGCTTGACCAACATGCACAGAGGCGTTGGGGGCGGTTACTAAGGAATTAAATCTAAAAATTAAATTAAATTAGATTATATTAAAGATTTGGGTAGGAGTGTGTGGTGCGGTGTGTTAAGCCCTAAGATTACGGCGGTCTCGAGTGCTTCACCTACAGCCACAAGCTGGTCGCTACACCGCCGCGCACGCCCGGCGAAAATGGTAGGCACGTTTGCTTCAAAAGGTGCCTGTTTCCGAAGGTGCCGGCTTTTCCCGCCTCGAAATCGTTGAAGGCGGTTCACCTGTCGGTGGCGTCGTCGCTCCATCCATCCGAGCCCTCTTGGAGCAGTTGTTCTTTAAGATTGGGATTTGTTTTAGTGACTCGTTAATCCCGACGGATGACGGATCCGGTTTGAATCCGCACTCATCCAGGGCCAGGGGCTCCTATGGTT